AGAGCTGTCCCCTCGTCAAGGATTACTCATGCAATTTACATCGATTTTGCGCGGAGATGCAAATAATTAAATAATGACGAAATGACGCCTATTGAAACGATCATAATTAAATCCTTATACGTGCAAATCAAATCAGGTAATTATTACGGGCACGCAAATCCTGCTCTCGCATTGATGACAGCGCAATGCACACATTTTAAAACAAGGAACAGAGAACGAGCGCACACGATCATACAATATCAATAAACTTTGATTGCACTAATCGCATATCCATTAGCGATAATGTGTAGAAAATCATAGGGCCGAAATTGCGAGAGTGTACTCCTCCCGCGAATCCGTGTACCAATTTGTTGTATGAACGTGTATAAGTTGCCGTGAGATTGACAGCCTCGTTTTAATTAATACTCCCAACATGTTTATTTAACGCAACAAAGCTTTGAAGCCAGTGCCGCTAATTCTCCATTAGTAGAATTATTGGACATGCCGTATGGAAACGCGCGGTTAATCAAAGAGAGCACAAAATACCATTGTCTACCGGAATCCCTTAATTTTCCTGTTTCATCCGTANCCCCCCCCCCCCCCCCCGTCTCGCCTTTCTCTTTCTCTCTCGCAACGAAATAAGTCGAGAAGATCGTCTGATCGCGCCTTAGTATTTTCACCTGCCTGATAGACGCTCTCTAATACGCTTTCCACGGTAGGATTTATGCGATTGGCGTATCCCAAACGAAGATTCATCGCTACGTTGGCTTCAATATTACGTACTCCTTCCTCCGTATAATTCCGCCACAGAGAATTTCCTATTAGGAGTTCCACGGTTCTCCATTCTCCGCGATGTCTGATCGTAGAATTTCGCCTCGATTGCCCCGCGAATCTCATTCATCATTGCGACATTTTCCTTGATCTTATTAGCCCGAGCACTCGAACCGTAATCGATTTTGTGCTTATCAAATTACAAATTGATTCTGAGTTTCATTATGTCGCTAATTGGACGAAATCCGCGACGCTGCTGCAGCACCGTCTCACCTTTTTAAATAATAGCGGATATTTATATCGCGCGTAAATTACTGCGGTACATCGCGCGTGTAAATTATGGAAATACATCGATATAAATACAAACTACGAATTCACACGTGCGACAACACGTTGTGCGCTCGGTAGAAAAATCGAGTTATGCGGACGGACATGTCCGACTAAAGTTGAAATTATGCATTGTTCGGTAATAAGTTTCGTCTCGCGACTCGCGTGATGAAATATAAAATATTCAACGATATTCCGACAAATCACGGGCCCTTCGACCAAACGAGTCGCCATTCCGCCGTTCGGTCCCGAGAATCCAACGACTCTCTGGATTAAAGCGAGAGACGTCGAGTTACCTCTGATAAAGGATCCGATTCCAGAAATCCCGAGAAAGCCAGAAAGTTCCGACGAGAGAGAACAAAGGCACCGCATAAATAATGATCTGCTAAAAATACAAAAAGATTACGCGCGTTCGTCGGAGGAGGTCGGCGAAATCGACGGGTACGTAAAGCATCGGAGGTGCATACCGGCGAGGCAATGAAGAGAGCGAGAAGAAAGCGAGAGGGAACGAGAAGGGTGGAAAAATGGTAGTCTCGATGGGAAGCGAGAGCAAGAACGACGACGAGGACGAGAGAGAGAGAGAGAGAGAGAGAAATGGGAGGGGGAAAGAATTCCCGCAGGACACGACCCAGCAAATGAGCCGGAGAATGCAAATCAATCCCACGACGCGGCGCTCGAAATTGTGCACCTACGCTCGAATGCGGCAATCCCTTTTCCAGGCTTTGCGCTGCATGCGCCGGTGTTGGAGGACGGGGTGTGTGGTAGTACCGCCGACACCGACACACAGCCCACGAATGCCCCCCCAGGGTACGTCGCTGCAACGGTGCAACGGCGCAATGAGACCGACATTGCAGCCGAGCGTGCATTATCGCATCCGACGTGTCCGACCCGGAGAACCGCCTCCTCTGCGCGATCTCCTCTTCGGGGAATAGCGCTCCGACGCCGCTGCTCGTACACGACTTGCTCGCGGAATCTTTGCTGCGGACCACCACGTGGCGTATTCCAGCTCGTTTCTGAAACGGCGCAATGCACGGCCACGACGATCCCTTGAAAATCGCCGGACGGCCTCTCTCTCTCTGGTGCGCGCGGATGGCACCCACAGCATCTTTTCTTCATGTAGCACACGCTGTACCTTACCTCTCGCGTGAATTTTTTTGAAATCGCTCCCCGAGCGCTGAAGGGGTCCGAAAATGGAACGTCGCTTTGGCTGAGGATGCTTGTGAAGATAGATGTATATATGTGCGTATATATAGAACGTATTCATAGCTGAATTTTGGGACGAGCTTAAAAACGCAATTTGCGAGGATCGTCTTATTTCGAAGAGATCCTAAGTCACTTCCTATGTCACAAACGCGAGTTAAATTCTGACGCTGACTATTCTCAGATTATCCTTATCGGGTTTTGCGAGATCGTCGTAACAATTCAAGCCGTCTTATTTCCGAACGAATTCGGGAAAGATCGAATTAAGACGAGTGACATACGACGGGTAGTGTATCTTTTATTAAACGTTCTTTCTTTCTTACCGAAACTCGGTGAGGCGACGGATTATGCTCGCGACTTTCCCCGTACAAAACGAGCGCCGGAGAGTCGTCGCGGGGGAAGAACCCAGTATACGGTTACTTTTGCAGACGCGTCACTCGTAAGAACATGACGATGATAGGGTCGAAGACGCGATTCCCTTTGTCCTAGCGGCGAGCCAACCGCTCAAAAGGTTTATCGGAGCATGACCGAGAAACTCCATTGAAATGCAATTTAACGAGATGGAACGGTGGGGGAGAACTATCCAGAACGGCGATTATAGCGAAAGCGACAAATGCGCGGTCGTAAGGGCTCTCTTTCGACCGGATCAATCGCCCCGAATGTAATATCAAAGGTGGAATTTAATTGCAAATGAAGAATCATATATATGAAGATGAATTCGCGATCCGAGTTTGCAACTAATTTGTCATTCGGACGGAACGAGGATACGAGGACGGCGGCGACTCCTCGCTCTAGAATCAACTAGTCGATAATGCTCCATTTTGTACTCAACTTTTAACTTGACAATCTCAGCACGCATTTACTTGAAATACCAGCACTCCCTTAAAGATCCGCGCGATTCGTGTGTATATGAAGTTAAGCAGTTATCGATCGCACACGAGAGACGGTGCGCGACAAGAAAGGAGAGAGAGAGAGAGCAGCGCTATCCGATCGCCCGAGCGACTTGTCTATCGCTCGAAACGGCAAAAACTTTCGGGCCCGGCGAACGTAATAATTCTCGATTAGCAAAACGACGGACCGCCGCGAGTCTCAGCCGGGGATGTCGATCAATTATTGTAATAGTGCTCGCCCTACGTTCGAGTCTTGTCACGCGAACGCTCCCCTTCGATCTCCTTCCTGCTAAACGTAATCACGTTAAAACAACGCACAAGCGCGAAACACGTCGTCCCGAGTCAAGGGGATACCGGCCGGGATATTGCGATCCCGGTGCCGTTGTCGATGTCGTGTCCATTTCGGACGTCGATCGCGGAGGGTGGTGCGCGATTTTTCCCAACAGTCATCGCGACACGCTGTTTTACGAAATTCGCAGTCGCTCCGGCGCGTTGTAATCGCCTACCGGGAAAAACCAGCTACACCCTGAGCTCTCGGGAGTACAGGGGACGCGCGAGATTACGACACAGGTCGTGAAAATTCCGCGAAATCATTTCGCGATCGTCGGAAGTGCGCGCGCGCGGAAGTGAACGTACTCACCCGGCGCCAGTGTGTCAATTTGACCACATACGCGCCGCTGAGACGCAAACGTTAAGATTAATATTTGATCGCGCGAAATTAACACGCTCACTGTGCTCACGTTGCTCACCGTGCTTAGACACGCGCGAGGTCGATACAAATTGCTTTCAGGGAGCTATTAAGACTTCATAAAGAGATATCGAATGGCCCCCGAGACGCTCGAAATTAATCGGCCGTCGGCGATGCGCAAGTAACTGTATGGTAATAATAAGCGACGCGTTAAAGAGCGATATCGTCGCGAAGAGAGACAGTAGAGAGAGAGTAGAGAAAGAAAAAGACAGAAAGAGAAAGAGAGAGAGGATAAGGACAGACAGAGAAACCGTGTCCATGCCGCCTCTTAAAAGCGAGAGGACCGTTTCAATTAATAGCGACTATTCGTCGATAGGAATAATCGAACGAGGACCAATTAAGGGTACGATCTGAGGCCGGCGCGAGCGGAGCGAGCGAGCGAGGCGCGTTCATTTCACTTTTATTCCGGAGCTCGTCAGCATCCGCTCGTTTCCACGAGTCGTCTATTGTGCCGAATGAACCGCAGAACCGATTAGTCCGTGGATACGTAAATTGCGTTCACAGTAAAAGCGGCTTGTGAATAGGTGGTCGAGGAAGGGGGAGGGGGGAGACAGGTACCTTTTCAGTAGCAAAGGTAGGCCGGCCATACAGGAACCCGTACAATTAGCCGGCAGCATCTCGCCGCCAATCCGCGATGAAGATTCGAGATGATGAACTGTGCAGCGGCGCGTGTATCGCTGCGCAAACCGTGTTCCATTTTCTCGCGAGGTCGTCGGGCGAAATTACGAAAGGAATCTCGGACGTTGCCTCGCGATAACCGATGAAACTCGAGTCGGTATAAACTTTTCCGATACCACGTTGCGAAGTCTGCTCCGAATGCGCGTCGATATCCATTTGTCAGACGGCGGACATTATTCGCAACTCGCGTGGAGGCCGTGCGGTTTACGAATCAATCGGCGTGTGGAAAAATGACAAACGCGCGATTTTGCTTTACTGGAATAAACGAGGCGATCCAATATATGGGATACATGAGACAACGATAGAGAACAGTCGCGCGAGTCGTCGTGTGAGCGGTGTCTTTACGGCAACCCGGCGAACAGCTGGAATGCATTTAATAACACGTTCCGCTTAATCTCTCGTTTCAGGTACGATCTGGAGACAGAGAAGCTCTATAGCATCTCATGGTACAAGGACAACGAGGAATTCTACAGATACGTGCCCCGAACGGAGCCCAATAAGCACAGCTATCACGTCGAAGGTGTTAAAGTTGATGTGAGTAAGATGCCCCTCTCTCGTATTCCATTGTAGTCGGCCGCCATTGTTCCCCGGCATTGAATCTTTAACGCTCCTGTCGAGGAGAGCCTTTCCCTTTTAAATAACAACCGTCCTCGCGGAGGAGGAATCAATAAATCCTAAGCGAACATGTGCGCGCGTGCTTCCGCATTTCGCCGTACGCGAGAAATTTTTAATGCTAAAACAAACTCGACCCGACCGGCGCGCATGACAATCGCGAGCAATCGCGGCGAACGGACACCATCCGCGGATAAAGAATGCGCGCGCGCGCGCACGATCCGCAGAAAACGAAATATTTTAACAGCAACGGATTAGTTTAAATCTAGATTTACGCTCGCGCGTACACGCGCCCGCCCCGATAAATCATTCAATGAAACTCGCACGGTGGCAGCGACGGCGCGAAATAAATCGAATTGAAGACCGCCGCGTCGCGGCGATGCGTCATGGACGCGTTTTGAGACAAATCGCGAAATCTATCGCGAGTGCCCGATAAATTTTTCGAAGGCGACCTCCTGCAGATACGTCTTAAACGTCGATATATCCGGGATGCCGGGTAACAGGTTGGAGAGCCTCCGGGTCAAACAAAGTGGAGCTTTCGACCTGATCTACGATACCAATTTCATGGAAAAATCTTCGATTCGTTCGAGCATACGTAGCGGTGGCGGGTGGTTGGGCAAAGGGGGAGGAAGAGGAGGAGGGGAAGGACGAAAGATTTGCTCTAACGTCGCGAGGGTTACAGAAATCGGAGCTGCGGGAACTATCGGTTCTCCCGGCCGCAAACGAAACCGCGAACGATGAGCAAACTTCGTTTCGAAAATATTTGTCCCGTCGCTCGATAAACGGAAACGTTGTTTCCGCGGAGGAGCTTAACGCGCCGAGCTTTACAAGCGGCTTTGTCGTCGTCGATGAAACCGTCTGTTCGTCAAAAGGGGGGGAAACATCGTTTGCCGTGTATAATCCAACGAGGTATCGCGGATTAATTCCAGCTTGGTTTAAGCCGAGCTCCGATGGCGTATGATCGCCGAATCATTGTGACGCTCAGCGAAAGAGCTCGATCCGCCGCGTTAATTCCCCGACGCTGTCGCACGATAACTTCACCTGCGCCCCCGCCAGCGACTTATCGAATGGCCGATAATTTCGTTAACCGTGACTTTTCGTACGAGTTGGGAATTTCGATGCCGGCGATATCGACACATATCTCCGAGATATAATGAAGAGCGAAAATCAAATCGTTCACCTCGTCTGCGAATAAGGTCACACGCGCGAAATAATTCGGGGTTATTGGGGAGTGCCCGTTCGCGTGTTTATCAATACCTCATGCCGCTTCGTATAAACTTGGCGAGAGAAATGAGAGGAAAAAGCACAGAGAGAGAGAAAGAGAGAATGGAAACCAGAGTACACACTATCACGACGCGTTGTGGCTCGCGTATATACGTGCGCGTGGACGAGCGAGCGAGCAAGGGGATGTGCATCGTATATCATAGACCGCCATTGTGCTCAACAACGTACACGGGAGGCGCTCAAGTTTTACGGCCTTCCGCAAAGATTTAGCGGCGCCAATCTACTCTTTATATTACGGGGTAGATGAGGCTGAATTCGGAGATCCGCGCGAAAAGAACGTGGAGCCGCGAGGGGCGATGCATTGCTCTCTCTCTCTCTCGTTCTCCCTCTCTTTCTTTCTCTCATTTCCTTTTTTTCTCTCGTGATGCGACAGGTATATAGGTCGGCGGCAGGTTCATTGAAAAAGGGTCGACTGGTTTTAATGGACACGCGATATCGGTGATCCGGTAATGTGATTACGCGTCCGCGAAACGGGAAAATCGAGTCGCTGCAAAATTCATAGCCGTCGAATTTTTTTTTTTCAGATCACCACATTCGACGGGACTGTCCTCGTCAGTCAAGCGTGACCCACTCATCCCTCGCCGATTATTTAGAATACTTGCACGTTTTATTAATTGTCGTATATTAGGAGCGCAGCTCCTATTCACGGAATAAGAAAATTAGCTTCTGCGCGCACGTGATCTTGAGTTTCTTGAGAGCGGAAGAGGCATTCAAAGCAACATAAGACGAGTTAACGATAACACAAATTAATTCTTAGTTTATTCCCTTTTCAAGGGGCACAACACACGCGTGGGGTTTCCGCGACGTACCCATTCTTAAAAATGTTAACAAGAACCGAAAGTATAAAGGCAATTACACTAATAATTGGGGGAACTTTTGTAAGTACCGCACGCAGTTATCGTGTAAGAAAGTAATGCAATAGATAGACAAGCAACCGACGACGAGCAATCGTCGACGCGCAGCACAAGCAAGAATACCGACCTGCCACCGGGCTATGCAGAATCGTACTACGTCCCGGGACCAGCAGCTCCCGAGGATGTTTCGCTTTTCTGTTGTCTCGCGTTACTAAGACACGAAGGAAACATGACCATATAAGGCTATAACGCGCGTGCCTAACGATCGCCGACGCGCTGTTGTCGGCTAATCAAAGACAATCACCTCTCGCGAGCAACAACACGGAACACGTGATTCGCACGCATCACAGCTGTGCCGTGTGACTCGCAACAGCTTCAGTAGCTGAATTAGTTGTCTCTATGGACAACCTAAAACTTGAGCAACGTAAGCAATTTTAATTGTTGCAGTAACAAACTCTTTGCTGCTGCAGCAATTAAAATTGTTTACGCTGCTCGCAAGTTTTAAGTGTTCATATATACAACCAATCCAGCTAATCTTTTTTGTCCACATACGTTTACGTGATCTATATAAATTTTTACCGATCTAGAAAGAGTTTCTGTTGTTCATGATCCGAGAAGGACAATATAAATATCGACGGACGTTTCATTTATGAGTGTATGACGCTCCCAATCGGCTCGTCAAACGCTCAATATCGATTTTACTCTATATCGGAAAATTGAATGTACATTGCGGCGTGTGCCGATGCACGATGTTTCTGATAAACACGATTCACCCTCACTCGAGGAAAATTCCTTATGAATACGAAAAATCACATTTCCAAGAAAAACCCTACACAACCTCACGATATCACGGGTTTTCTTCCCGTTGCAAATTAGCCCGTGTCGATACTTGATACGAGAAGCACGACGAAAAGGGAGAAAAATAATAAAAGACAAATAAGTATGTAAACTCATTCCGTCCCCTTATCTTACATTTTAATATCCTGTCTATAAATCCTTTTGTGTCGCGTACAACGGGACGAGTTATAAAACGCAATTACCTTTACGACTACATACTCGCTTTGATGCGGCACGCTTTGTGGCGGATAAGCACGTCGAGGGCATGTCTTAATACTCTGAGTATTACAAGATTTCCAAATTATTAAACCCCAGAAAATACCTCCCGCCTTCATCTTATCTTACGAAGCGCGAGGCACCATCGAGCAATGAAGCTGGAGCTCGACGGCTCGTGACTGTGTTAAATCTCGCCAAGCTGGAGAGGAAGAAATCTCCATTAGCGCTTTTCAAGTAGACCACCGGTTTTAACCCCTTTCATCCTCTTTCGACGTCGCGCGCGATGTGTATCAAAAAACGACATATGCTATTAGCGAGATCACGTTCAGGCAAGAACACTCCGTGTTTACACTTCCATTTACGAGCTGTTACACACTATGTTTATTCTAATTGCGTCGGTATTAAAACGCATAGCATGAGTCCCGACATGAGAGAAAATCTCCAACGAGTGCGGCTCCACTGTCGCAGGATGAAGGGAAGGAGAGGGGTAAAAGTCGGTAATTGAAAAATCGTTTGACGACGTTTACGCCGATAGGAAAAGCCCAACCATATAGCCACTTGTATATCCACGTGGCGTATCGAATCGTCGGATGTAACCGAGTTTGCGGGAGAACTGCTCGTTCGACCGTAGAGGAATCGCATCGTCGCTCTCCAGGCAGGAACCAAAGCGAAACTGCAGGTTGAAACGACACCGGGCGAGAAAGTGTGGACGTCTCGCCAGCGAGGAAGAGGCCGCGCGAGAATCCGAGCTCGCTCGCGCGAGACTCGCGTAAAATATTTCAATTTATTCCGGGCTCGAGAGTTCGCGCCCGTAACGCGCTCGAGGGCATACCGCGGTGTGTACGTATGAACAAAGTCGCGTAATAATAAAGCGTCACGCTCAAAGCTGTAATAAAAATGAAGCCCTCCTACTCATCGCGCGCACCGGCTCAGGTGTATCGTGTACCGCGATCGCGATAATGCGCGCGGCGCTGCGGTAAAAGGATCGTACGCCGGCGGAAACGCGGAAATGCGCAGCGCAAAGAGAAACGACGACGGGCGAGGGTGTGCGTTGGGAAACTCCTCTCTGCGGGCGAGTAATTACCGCACGCTCGGAGTGATGAGGGAAGTATAACGGCGAATGTGTGCCAAGTGCGACGAAGGATGGAGGAACCTGCGCGGAGGAATGGCCGTCGCGAATTTTTCTCGCGCGCGACCGGGAAAATCGATTCCGGGGAGAGTCGGTGCGCGAGAGAAGCTCCGCTCGGCGGACACCTGTTAGTGAAAATTTAAGAAATCGCGAGGAACCAGCCGCGAGCGAGGCCGGTCTTTCGTTCGGCAAAAATGAGTTCGAGATTTCGCGGAATGAACTCGTGTCGAAATCTGGATGCTACTTTGATACTCTTAACCCTCACAAGGAAAGGTGGGGGCCATTTATGACCCCAGCAAAACGTTTATTTATTGTATTATTGTAATATTTTTGAAAAATATTTTCTTGTTTATTGTCCCGTATAATTTTCACGCCCTTTCTTTGTTTTAATCAAACAGAACGCATATTCATATATTTGGGTCACTCACAACTCCAAAATTTCTGCTCACGTCCCGCTTTCATCTTTCCTTGCGAAGATTAAAGATAGCTTGCGACTATTTAGATGACCTGCCAACTTCTTTCTTAGACCTTTAATTTTGCCGATTTGATGAACGAAAATTTGAGACATCATCGGAGTAGGAATAAATTGCATTATTCAAATT